TGGATGTCGGCAACAGATGTAGATGTCCCTAACAGTTGTAGGTTACGACGGCAGATGTAGATGTCCCTAACATTTGTAGGTTACGACAGCAGATGTAGATGTCCCTAACACTTGTAGGTTACGGCAGCAGATGTAGATGTACCTAAGAGTTGTAGGTTACGACAGCAGATGGAGATGCCCCTACCAGTTGTAGGTTACGGCAACAGATGTAGACGTCCCTAACAGTTGTAGGTTACGACAGCAGATGGAGATGCCCCTACCAGTTGTAGGTTACGGCAACAGATGTAGACGTCCCTAACAGTTGTACGTTACGACAGCAGATGTAGATGTCCCTAACAATTGTACGTTACGACAGCAGATGTAGATGTCCCGAACAGTTGTAGGTTACGACAGCAGATGTCGATGTCCCTAACAGTTGTAGGTTACGACAGCAGATGTGGATGTTGCAAAGATAGGTGGATGTCGGCAACAGGTGCAGATGTCCCTAACAATTGTAGGTTACTGCTGCACATGTAGATGTCGCGAAGATAGGTGTGGGTGTGGGTGTGTATTAGCTAGTGATTCAAATATGAATCGATCAAAATAGCTAGCAAGACCGGTTTCGACAAGTGCTATGAGTACTTATCAATTGCTTTTTTGATGAAAGGAGATATCTCCTATTGCAAGTAATATCGTTAGAAGTTTTCGAGTGAAACTCCTAATGATGATAAAACTTACAAATTAATATATTATCAAGTGACTTATATAGAAACAAGTACTTAATAAAATTTTTGAAGAGATTATTCCAACGCTTGGGTGTGTTTAGCTAGTGATTCAAATATGAAGTGTAAAAGAAAGACTCGAAATTCAAAGCATCACACGGTGCGTTTCGTCCTTGCTTAAGGGTCCTCATCAGGTATGTTTAGAATTTCTTAATTACACGCAAGTCATAACTCACACAAAGTTTTGGAGAAGTTATGGCTTAAACGTAATTAGATAAAAGACTCAATATAATTTAATTTAGAACTTAAGAATTGAAGTTGAAAGTAGATATATATCTATAACAATAAAGAAAAATGTTATTCTATTAGAAAAGAAGTCAAATGTCAATAAACAATAACAATAATAATAAGTTGAAGAATGAAAAAAAAAGGTAGAATAATATGCATGGAATAAACAAAGATATGTGAACAATTCATAGTCTCAAAAGAAAGAGAACACATCAAAAGTGAAAAGAAACAAGAAATTGGATAGAGACAGAAACACAAAAGTTTGTATCGATTTTATATATATATATATATATATATGCATTGTTTTTTTTTTTGTTTTGGAAAATAAGTTCTTGTCAATTATTTTTTATGTTTTCGTTGGTAGTGTTGAATCATTTTTTCCCATTCATCAGGTGCACCAATAAGTTCTTCATTACTTTTCGTAGGTAAACCTTCATTTGATACTTGACTATTATTTGAATTAGTTGTCAATTGATGTTGTGGTTTGTAAAAGTATTCATCAGAAGCTAGAATAGTATATATGGTAAAAGAAATATAGTTCGTTTTACGAGACATCCACTATGTGATAAGCAATTACCCATGATATAAATAACTGCTCTTTCATTCCAATATGCTGCTGTTTTCTTTTGACGATCACTGATGGGTTCTTCTAATAATGAGCCTGCATCTTCAGAATTCAATAATACTATTGCAGGTTGTCGAATATTAATTTGTTTTGTTCCTCAATATTTGTCAGAAGCCTATTCAACAAAAAAATATATATTCATAATAGTCAGTATAAATGAAGGATAGATACGAAGAGAAAAAAGTTTCGTTTTGTTTTGTGTTTTACTTACACTTATTTTATATGTTTTTTGTGTTAGTAAATTTTTTTTATTAGGAAAATTAAGTTTAGCAAAATCATCCCATGGAATATCATCATAAACAGAATATCGAGCATAATTATTCCATGCATCTAAATTCCATCGTTCTTGAAAATAATTAACACGACCAGGTAATGACATTGCAAATGATGTTTTTCCTGTACTAGTTGGTGCCCTGGATGACGTATTAGCTGTTGAAATATTACGTAGAAACACGGTGTGGCAATTGTCACACCTCGCTCCTTGGGCCGGCCCGCCAACGATTGATATAATCTCATGCGTTTCTATTTGATGTTGAATATTTTTTGTACATATTTTTCTCCATAGATTTGGACTAATAGGTTTTCATGTAAATGCATAAAAAAGTTGGTTTTTGCCACTTCATTAGTAAATGTACGATAATGATTAATAGTCGGGCATATATTGTTTCAAATTCATTGTTAAGATTAATACATGGAATTTCTGAAGCAGGAGTAAACGTTAACTAATTCACTTCAAAACCAATCGCGCAAGGAAGATAAATATAAGTATATATACGAAAATTGTCTTTCCAAAGTCCACCGGAACGTTTTGTTTTATTGGAGCATTTATAACTTGTTGACGCTATATATTATACATATTCTAAAAAGAGGGTGTGGGTGAGATATAGCCGCCAACATCTAGATTTCGTCGTTCAAGAAAAAAGACAATTCATATATAATCCACAGCCATTAATGAAATTATGCTTACCTGTTCGATCAACAACTTCAACTTCAACTTCATTTCAATCATATGAATAAACCATAATGCTATCACTCAATAAAGCATCATCATCTTCACTGCACAGATAATCACAGTGGTCCATCTTTGAAAAATTAAATTATTCTAGAAAAACGATGAAAAATATATACCATCGAGAAATGAAAGAAGGAAAAACATTAGATTTCCTACCATCGTTCGAAACTCAGCAATACGTAGAGCTTGCGTAGTTGAGTAGATACATATTATCAATGACTCACTATGATGCTCAATTCGCAAGATATACTCAACTATTTTTGTCTCGATCGGATCAAAGTGATAAACATAGGACAGGTAGAACTTGAGTAGCTGAGTCTACTCATATTATCAATGACTCACTACGATCCTCCACTCGCAAGATATACTCAACGTTTTACTCATTTGTCGGATCAAAGTGAAACTCACAGGACAGGTTGAGCTTGAGTAGCTGAGCCTACTCATATGATCAATGACTCACTACGATGCTCAACTCACAAGATATAGTCAGTTCCTGACTACTTAGTCAGATGAAAGTGATACTCATAGGACAGGTAGAGGTTGAGTAGCTGAGTCTACTCATATGATCAATGACTCACTATGTTGCTTAACTCGCAAAATATGGTAAGTTCTTTACTACTTAGTCAGATGAAAGTGATACTCATAGGCCTGGTAGAGCTTGAGTAGCTAAGTCTACTCATAGGATCAGTGACTCACTGCGATGCTCAGCTCACAAGATATACTCAACTTTTTAGTCATTAGTCGGATCAAAGTGAAACTCATAGGCCAGGTAGAGCTTGAGCAGCTGAGTCTACTCATATGATCAATGACTCACTATGATGCTGAACGCACAAGATATGGTCAGTTGTTTACGACTTAGCCAGATGAAAGTGATACTCATAGGACAGGTAAAACATGAGTACCCGAGTATACTCATATTATCAATGA